GGTATAACTTAATGACTTACATTCGATAAGGCCTTCCTTACATTACCTTCATGGTACTATATGCGGAGACTGTTTATACGTCAAGGTGAGCCTTGCGGTAAAAAAAATGCGATGAAGCGTTTTATTACTGCATTTTTTGCAAAAAACTTCACAGGTTAGCTAAAAATACTTTAAAAAATTAAATCGTTGCTTGTTTCTAAAAATAGATACGATTTCTTAAACTTAGCTTCACTTCTATTCGAGCAACCTCGGACAAAATTTTCAAGTGGTGGAAGAGATAATTTTCCACTTATTTTTTGCTTATTCTTGGATTCGTCCATAGCACAATGCATATTAATAAAAGGTCTGGTTCTGTCGTACCTTATAGCCTAGGAAATTTCTTCGATGTAAATTTACTGAAGATTTAGCCAAATTTAGTGCCTATTTTGCTCAACAACTTTAAGTAAGAGGACATTTTTCCAAACTAAAGCTTTTCCAATTATTAAATCCACTCACTTAATCAAAATAACCAGACGAAGTGCGTGTTTAATGTTCAAGTTTGTCATGATAGTTGCATGCAGGACTTGCCATACTGTAACTACCCGTAAATTACTCGCTGGCCACAGCTTGTGCACTGCCGACGCTCTAGTATCGAGGCGACAACCGAGCGCCGTGGGTGTAACCACACCAAATCAACATCAAAATGTACTTAAAACACCTCTTAATTAGGCCAACTTCGTGGCTATCTGGCGGATTTTGGACTGGGGGCCTAGGAAATCCTGTTTGATCAGTAAACTGACTTTATGAGAATTGGCAGGCTCTTTACGTTGCAGTAGGTCGGGTGGGTAACTTGACTTAAATGGGCTTAAACTCATGGCTCTCGGCCAGGAAATCGTAACTCAGGTGATATGATTGCTGGCTGGTACAGGTACGGGCATGAACCACGTCAAACTACTATATATTTTTTAAAATTAGGCCAGTTAAATACTCTTCTTATAGGGCTTCCATTGCATAGGAAATGCATCCAAAGACACCATGTTATAGGACAGCGCATGTTCACAAACATTGCATAAATTAAATTGGTGACAGTCAAGTATCCTGGTAGACCTTCTTATTTTTGCCCGGAGCTATGATTCTTAATCAGAATATGCCAGTGAACAGTTAATTCATGCAGAATCCAAGTGACTCGGTGGCAGAGCCTTAAGTTAAACATTCAGTCACTATGGGGTCCGAATCCAAACCCCGATTCTTTTGGTCCAGACTTTTGATAATAATGATGACGGTAATTAAACCAGAAATGATCACGCGGGTCTTGCCTCCCATGACAGGAACACTCGTCTATTATTTCTGGTAAATATTACTTTATTTTCCTGACTCTTCAACATGGAGAACACAGAGAAAAAGACAATTCGATCGCTGGGAGAACACTTTTATTCGCGTGATGTTTCGATATCCTTCGCGGATTCTTCAGAGACATAAGCAGAAAGCAATAGCACTGCTACTTACATCCCATTACTTCCTGCTGGATAATTGCATTCCCACGTAATGAACCACTCATTACTCATTACGGAAAAGATAGGCGAACACCTCTGAAATCCCTATTGGTAACAAGATGATAGGAAGTATATGGATACAAGGAACAATTTAAAAAAATACTTTGATTAAATGTCGTGGGTGTTGCAGTTGTAGGATAGCCGAGATAGAAATAAAAAACGACTTCTTGCTTATCACGAGTAGTATAACGCCACGTAGTGTCTTTTAATTACCTGATTGATATACAATGATATGTTTGGTGCATGTCAAGTCTGCTCTGAAATAAATTAACACAGGTGGAGAGGTCAAGCTGCCTGCTGGATAATTGCATTCCCACGTAACAAATCGCTCATTACTGACAGTCATTCCTCCTTCTCCCCAGGTGTGCCCCCTTTCCGGCCGACTTTCGGGTTCGGTGCCAGCAGACTGGGCTCAGCATCCCATTCACCAGTTCATTCGCGACGACGTCAACTTCTCTATCAACACTGACGACCCGACTGTGACCGGACAGTGGTACCTCGAAGAGCAGCTCATGTGTATGCGGGAGCTTGGCTTGACTGCTCAGCAAGTGGTCAAAGCAAACTTCCGAGCAGCTCGGGCCTCCTTTCTACCGGATGACTCCAAGGAGCAGTTGATCGGACACTTGAAGGCAGGGGCTGGCATTACAACCATACGCGGTTGAAACAATTTGGGTTACGCCTACAGTGACTGCAAGATTCTCGCACCGTCAGCCCATTGAAGCGCCAACTTACTTACCCGATTTTAGTAATTTCGCATTTTTTAATATGCGGTATACAAATATTATGCAAGAATGATAAGCAAATGACGAAAGGTATTGTTGTCTCCTTTTTTTCTATATGATCAACCGCAAAGTTACAAGCTATTAATTTTGTGTAGATGTTCCGGTCCTCAAAATAGTTTAGTCATACTCTGCCCAGTTGGGCTATCGTCTGAAGTGTTCGCTTGCAGTGCTTGATACTTACTTGAGTTCTTTCTTTGTATTGTCCGGCTGTGTCAGTTCACTAATTGAATGTCTACTGACTGACTTAACGAAATTTCTTAGATTCTGCGAAAATTTCCATTTTACGATTGAAAAGTCGTATTGGCAAACAATTGTTTTCGGTCATTCATCATCAGGCCGGTACATAAAATGGAGACTAAGAATTGTCGGTTAATTGCAGCCTTCATATCATCGGCAGGTTAAGGGGGGGCGAAGGAAGTGAGTTAGTGCGTGGTTGAGTGTAATCAAGCATGTGGGTTCTCCCTTTTCTCCTGAATGCGGGCGCCAGCGTGGGTAGGACGTTGATTGCGGTGCGCAGGGGAGATGTTCTCATGGTCAGCGGGTTGAGGTCTGTACGTCAGTCGTGCAGCTTGCGCGTGACTATTCTCTGTGGCTTCGTTCTGTGTGTTTTTGGACGACGTGGCTTCAAGAGGCGTGGGATTTCCGCGTTCAGTCGGCCAAGGGGGGCAGATTGCTTGTACCAGCGCCTTTTGACAGCATAGAGTGGGTTTTGCTA